CTAGCGAGTACACTGCAATACCCCCCCCCCAACTCTCAATTAGTACAGTTACTAAGCGGGAGATGGTAATTGGACCCATTTCTGAGACTAACACAGGTGTTATAAGAGCCCACACCCCAGCCTCGCCCTTGTGAAGATACACACCCCGCCCCACCTGCTGGAGTGTGAACCCCTCCAAAGTACCCTACCACAGGAGGGTGTGAAGGGGGGGCTCAGCCCCCCGCGTGTAGCACCAGTATCAACCGGTCACCAAGCCTCTAGGGCGAAGCTCAACCACAGCACTTGTTAGTCAATACTATGGATATCAACATAGGTTGTTTATGACAGTCAGTTGCGGTGGTAGATGGTAGAGGTGACGAGTGGGAAGTAGCTACAGTGTGGTAGATTTACAATATGTGGTAGATGGTAGAGGAGACAAGCGGGAGGCTGGTGCGTGTGTGTGTGTGTGTGTGTGTGTGTGTGTGTGTGTGTGTGTGTGTGTGTGTGTGTGTGTGTGTGTGTGTGTGTGTGTGTGTGTGTGTGTGTACCCACAAGAACAGGAGCGGATGACAGCAGGAGGGAGGGAGGGAAGGCGAACAGACCAAACACTCACCCTGTTGGAATGGCCATGAGAGGCGTGTAGCGGTCGCGGCGTCTCGTAGTCAGAGTCAGAGCTGTCGTGAACATGGCTGAAGCTGGACCGACTTGGTTGCTGCTGCTGTTGCTGTTGCACATCCACATTTTCGTAGTCGGACTATTTGGAGGCAGCAAGGGGCAGGGACAAGAAGACAAATACAAAAGAATTAGTTACAATTTACCCAATACACGAAAGTTATGTCGTAATAGAAGCTGTTCCTACAGTCCATCTTACAGTAAGCTGTAACGCACACGCACAGAATGCAGGCAAACAAGCAAAGTGTAAAGCAAACAGAGTGCCAAGCTTACCAAAAAAAAAGTATAAACAAGACACTTACAATGCAACAGTGTATAAATATACACTTTGAATAATACACGACATGAAGACACAAACATGCAAGACTGGAATGTTTTTGTTTTTTATCGATTTATTTTTTTCTGCCACAGACGTGGCCACACATTTACAATGCTAACCAGAATATATATATATATACATTTTCTTGTGTCCTCTATGGACGAGAGGAGCACCTCATCATTATTCAACGTGTATACCATCATACTAGCTCATTATTCAACGTGTATACCATCATACTAGCTCATTATTCAACGTGTATACCATCATACTAGCTCATTATTCAACGTGTATACCATCATACTAGCTCATTATTCAACGTGTATACCATCATACTAGCTCATTATTCAACGTGTATACCATCATACTAGCTCATTATTCAACGTGTATACCATCATACTAGCTCATTATTCAACGTGTATACCATCATACTAGCTCATTATTCAACGTGTATACCATCATACTAGCTCATTATTCAACGTGTATACCATCATACTAGCTCATTATTCAACGTGTATACCATCATACTAGCTCATTATTCAACGTGTATACCATCATACTAGCTCATTATTCAACGTGTATACCATCATACCAGTGCAGCCCACAGGAGATTACACACACACACACTTCTATCTACTCAAATAATTGTAAACACCAAGAGAAAATGCAACCTTGAGGGCTGTAAGATGTTAATCCCTAGTCTGACAGACGAGACGGTAAAAGTAGGCCTCAGGGAGTTGTAGAAGAGAGTAGGGGGGTTATATAATAGGAACTTAAGAATAAAGGTAACTGCAGAAGGCCTATTGGCTGGTACGAGGCAGCTCCTATCTATAGCCACCCGATCCCACTACATACAAAGATTAATCAGGTGTCATAATCGTTATCTAATGTTGATAATGAATACAGCTTATTCCTACTGGTGCATACATAACAGGCTCATGAAATAAATAGACCTCTAGGAGTAGGTTTCAACTGAGCTGAGGTAGGATAACAGATCTTGCATGCAGTTTCACCAGGTTCCTTATGTAATAGTTCCTTCATGATAGTTTCCTATGTAATAGTTTCAAATTACTTTCTCATGAAATAAATGAGTCTCTAGGAGCATGCTTCAGTTGAACTGAGGTAGATTAACAGCTCTTGCTTGCAATTTCACGATGTACGTCATTTGACATTCCTTATGAACCCTAGTCTTAGAAAAAAAGGGGAGGGGGGTGGTTATAAGAGAATATTAACAGCTCAATCATCTACCCAACGCCGTAACAAGGTCATTGCCGTTATTTAAATACCCGTGTTTACCCAAGTTGTGGGTTATGTTGACCATCGCGATTCACACACACACACACACACTTAATTTTCTCGACCCCTCGTTAGTATTTTGTATGTAGTGATCATATGTTCTCTTTATCTTTTAGCTTTGGTATATTTAAAACCTTTAGCCTCTACTCATAGCCCTTGTTTTTCTGTTTTGGAAGCCATGGTTTTGCACCTTTGCCAGTTTATGTGCTTCTTGAGATATGGGAACCACACAACCGCTGCATATTCCAGCTTTGGTCTCACGAAGGTCAACAGTTTCTTCAATATTTTGACACTTATGTATTTAAAAGCGACTCTGATGTTGGAAAACATCGCACATGTTCTCTATCTGGCCCTCAGGTGCCAGTTTTTCTATTCAAAACCATTCCTGGATATCTTCATCAAAACATTCTATAACCTTACCACATAATTTGTTCGTGTATGGCCTATTTTCTCCTATCTCACATTCCATAACCTGGCATTTATTCACATTAAATTCCATCTGCCAAGTGTTGCTCCACTTAATATGGCTCGTTGAAGGGCATGACAATCCTCTTAAGTTTCTCATCTTCCCAACAGCAAACATGTTCATATAATTTTGTATTCCTTCTGGTAGATCGTTCATATTGACAACGGAAAAACAGTACCGGGGCAAGAACTCCACCCCGTGGCACGCCGCTAGTAACCTACCTTGAGGTTACCTTGAGGTGCTTCCGGGGCTTAGCGTCCCCGCGGCCCGGTCGTCGACCAGGCCTTCAGGACGTGATGACGTGACACTCTGACTCCAGTCAGACACACACTGCTCATCGCCCGTAGCATTCAAGCCACACATTATATACACACACACACACACACACATATGATAGAGCCCAGTAGGCTCAGGAATCTGTACACCAGTTGATTGACAGTTGAGAGGCGGGACCAAAGAGCCAAAGCTCAACCCCCGCAAGCACAATTAGGTGAGTACAATTAGGTGAGTACTAACACAAGAACTGATGGCCTGGCATTTTCCCTTGATAACTCCCTCCCTCCCTCCCTCCACAAAAGATAAAGAGGAGAAACTATCTAAACAGCAATTAACACATATAATTAAGGCAACTTATACAACCAAACATGTTAATAAACGATAATTATGCACACAAAATCATCCTGAGACATAGTGTAAGTGGGACAAAATCATCTTGAGGCAAAACATAAGTGGAACAAAATCCTGAGGCAAAGTATCAGTGGGACAAAAATATTCCTGAAGCAAAACATAAGTGGGACAAAATCCCGAGGCATAGTATCAGTGGGACAAAAATCATCTTGAAGCATAGCAACAGTGGGACAAAATCATCCTGAAGCACAGCAACAGTGGGACAAAATCATCCTGAAGCACAGCATCAGTGGGACAAAATCATCCTGAAGCATAGCAACAGTGGGACAAAATCATCCTGAAGCACAGCATCAGTGGGACAAAATCATCCTGAAGCATAGCAACAGTGGGACAAAATCATCCTGAAGCACAGCATCAGTGGGACAAAATCATCCTGAAGCACAGCAACAGTGGGACAAAATCATCCTGAAGCACAGCAACAGTGGGACAAAATCATCCTGAAGCACAGCATCAGTGGGACAAAATCATCCTGAAGCACAGCAACAGTGGGACAAAATCATCCTGAAGCATAGCATCAGTGGGACAAAATCATCCTGAAGCACAGCAACAGTGGGACAAAATCATCCTGAAGCACAGCAACAGTGGGACAAAATCATCCTGAAGCACAGCAACAGTGGGACAAAATCATCCTGAAGCACAGCAACAGTGGGACAAAATCATCCTGAAGCACAGCAACAGTGGGACAAAATCATCCTGAAGCACAGCAACAGTGGGACAAAATCATCCTGAAGCACAGCAACAGTGGGACAAAATCATCCTGAAGCATAGCAACAGTGGGACAAAATCATCCTGAAGCACAGCAACAGTGGGACAAAATCATCCTGAAGCACAGCAACAGTGGGACAAAATCATCCTGAAGCACAGCAACAGTGGGACAAAATCATCCTGAAGCACAGCAACAGTGGGACAAAATCATCCTGAAGCATAGCAACAGTGGGACAAAATCATCCTGAAGCATAGCAACAGTGGGACAAAATCATCCTGAAGCATAGCAACAGTGAGACAAAATCATCCTGAAGCACAGCAATAGTGGGACAAAAGACGGAGCAGAAGAGGGACAAAAATAAAGGTAACAAAAAAAAACACCCGAGATACATACGGTGTCCACATTATCATAGTCGGACTGCATGCGGGGGAGAGAGGTGGTAGAGGTCAGCACATGGGGTGTAGGGGTCAGCACATGGGGTGTAGGGGGTCAGCACATGGGGTGTAGGGGGTTAGCACATGGGGTATAGGGGGTTAGCACATGGGGTATAGGGGTCAGCACATGGGGTGTAGGGTTAGCACATGGGGTGTAGGGGTTAGCACATGGGGTGTAGGGGGTCAGCACATGGGGGTGTAGGGGGTCAGCACATGGGGTGTAGGGGTTAGCACATAGGGTGTAGGGGTTAGCACATGGGGTGTAGGTGTCAGCACATGGGGTGTAGGGGTCAGCACATGGGGTGTAGGGGGTTAGCACATGGGGTGTAGGGGTCAGCACATGGGGTGTAGGGGTCAGCACATGGGGTGTAGGAGTCAGCACATGGGGTGTAGGGGTCTAGCACATGGGGTGTAGGGGGTTAGCACATGGGGTAAAGGGGGTTAGCACATGGGGTGTAGGGGTCAGCACATGGGGTGTAGGGATCTAGCACATGGGGTGTAGGGGGTTAGCACATGGGGTATAGGGGGTTAGCACATGGGGTGTAGGGGTCAGCACATGGGGTGTAGGGTTAGCACATGGGGTGTAGGGTTAGCACATGGGGTGTAAGGGTTAGCACATGGGGTGTAGGGTTAGCACATGGGGTGTAAGGGTTAGCACATGGGGTGTAGGGGTCAGCACATGGGGTGTAGGGTTAGCACATGGGGTGTAGGGGTTAGCACATGGGGTGTAGGGGTTAGCACATGGGGTGTAAGGGTTAGCACATGGGGTGTAGGGGTCAGCACATGGGGTGTAAGGGTTAGCACATGGGGTGTAGGGGTCAGCACATGGGGTGTAAGGGTTAGCACATGGGGTGTAGGGGGTAAGCACATGGGGTGTAGGGGTTAGCACATGGGGTGTAGGGGGTCAGCACATGGGGTGTAGGGGGTCAGCACATGGGGTGTAGGAGTTAGCACATGGGGTGTAGGAGTTAGCACATGGGGTGTAGGGGGTCAGCACATGGGGTGTAGGGGGTCAGCACATGGGGTGTAGGGGGTCAGCACATGGGGGTGTAGGGGGTCAGCACATGGGGTGTTGGGGTCAGCACATGGGGTGTAGGAGTTAGCACATGGAGTGTAAGGGTCAGCACATGGGGTGTAGGGGGTCAGCACATGGGGTGTTGGGGTCAGCACATGGGGGGTGTAGCGGTTAGCACATGGGGGTAGGGATCAACATAGAGCTAGGAGAGTCAGCATATGGTGTATGGGGTCAGTATAGAGGCAGCAATCAGTATAGAGCCAGGGGGTCAGTATATCAGCAGGGGCAATTATATAAGCAGGGATTAGTAAATCAGCAGGAATCAGTATAGAGTCAAGTGTCAGCATATATGCAAGGGTCAAAATCTATACTGACCGTTGCTTATAGATATGTTGTGGTGGTGGTAGTGTGTGGTGGTCATGAGGGGGGATGGGGGGTGAAAACTACCTACATAATCCCCCCCTACATAAGGGTAATGTGCTGAAATTTTAGAGCAACAACTACTCTAATTAGTTTTCCAGGTATTACTCTTGGGCCTCCCTCACTGATGATTTTGGACAGGTTTTAAAATCTGCCACTAGGGAAATATATATATGGTCATTTAACAAAATGACCATATATATATCTTCCTTGCACAACCGTAATTAAATTTGAAACCAATAGGCAATTGGTGATGGATGGTCTCAAAGATGGTCTCACCATCAAAATCAATTAATTGAAAACTACTGCATAAGGGAATACTTTATAAATATATTAATTAAAATCTGTATACATAATCCCTTTAGGCAATGCTTTATAAATATATCAATAAATCTGAACTGATAAACAAAATAAAAAGCCTCAAGTATGCAAGAAAAGTAACATTGACTTGGGAAAAAAAGGAAAACTGACATAAGTGGGAACACCGAGATACATTTCTAAGCATTATTCTTACAACTAACACAGATACCGTAGACGAGAGGGAGGCAGAGCTGAGGGCAACAGGGAGCCTGGCTGCAAACCTTGTGGAACTGCACCAGCAACAATAACAGTGGCCAGCCAGTATGCTACAGTCACTACGGTACAAAGAAATGAATGAAGCATTCAGCGCCAACTTTCACAACTCGCGGCCAAAAACTTTCAAGCAATTGTGTAGGTCATGCACAATATAACTGTATAATTACCTCTTTTTTATAATATTAAAAACGATAAAATCATTCGGAGTAAAAGTCTGAGTTGAACCAACGTTCTCGCGACTACCAGATGCTTGCGCCTTAACCAACTTGGCCATGACAAGACAAAAGCTATTCAACCTGAAACTCTTGTAGAGGTCTGGAAGCCCCCAACTGCTGCTACAACCAGGTTGTCTTCTTTTGTAAATAGCCTACAAGTAATGGAGGCACCAGTTGGGGCCCCAAGACCTTCCTAGTGGATTCAGCAGAGTTCCAGGTTGATTAGCTTTTGTCCTATCATGGCCAGGGGCCAGATTCACGAAAGCACTTACGCAAACACTTACGAACCTGTACATCTTTTCTCAATCTTTGGCGGCTTTGTTTACAATTATTAAACAGTTAATGAGCTCCGAAGCACCGGGAGGCTGTTTATAACAATAACAACAGTTGAATTGTTAGTTTTTATGCTTGTAAACTGTTTAATAAATGTAACCAAAGCCGTCAAAGATTGAGGAAAGATGTACACGTTCGTAAGTGCTTGCGTAAGTGATTTCGTGAATCTGGCCCCAGGCTTGTTAAGGCAAGCCCTGGGAGTCACTAGAATGCTGGTTCAAGTAACAGCATTGCTCCAAATACTTTTTTCACAGATATATCACACCATTCATATGATTAAAAATGGTATATTAAGAATAGGAATAAGAGTAATATTAATAATTAAAACAGTTATTACTTAATATATCAAAAGTGCCTTGTACCTTTAAGAAAAGTGAAACTGTAAAACTCATGACTGTCATGAGATAAAGGTATGTTAGTGTTCTGTATTACAATATAAACTAACCCAATAACATCACATGATAAAATATAAACAAACCCTTGAGCATTATGGACTACAATAAAACTAACTCTTGAGTATCATGTGCTACAATATAAACTAACCCTCAAACAATACTCAGTGCAATGCAGGTAAACTCAACTGTCACGCAGTACAATGCAGTGCGAATTTGCTTGAATGAGCTATATGGGGTGAAACCCCTTTGACGTACGAGGGATTTCAGGCCCCCGGACATCCCCCACCCTCCAGGTATATTTAAAAAAATTACTCGAGAGGACCTACATCGACTGTACTGCATATGCAGGTTTATCACCTAGAGTAGTGTAGTGAAATTAAATACTGTGTAAACAAACTCCTTAGCATCACACAGTACATAATATAGTACTGTACTGATCTAACCTCTCGGCTAGGCTCTCAATCTCAGCCAAAGCCGGAGCCGGAGCCGGTTTGGGATCCGGTCGACCGAGCGGACAGCACGCTGGACTTGTGATCCTGGGTTCGATCCCAGGCGCCGGCGAGAAACAATGGGCAGAGTTTCTTTCACCCTATGCCCCTGTTACCTAGCAGTAAATAGGTACCTGGGTGTTAGTCAGCTGTCATGGGCTGCTTCCTGGGGGTGGAGGCCTGGTCGAGGACCGGACCGCGGGGACACTAAAGCCCCGAAATCATCTCAATATAACCTCAAGAAGCCTCCAATGAAAACTGGAGGTCTCAGAAGAGGGTCCATTCCTTTGGAGCATTCAATACCCCATGTAACCGGAAGATGATATTCAAATGGGGTAATACCCATGAACTGAACAAGATACATTAATAAAGTAAAAAAATTATACAATACACTTATTTCCCCCCCCCCCCTTCAGTGATGCCCTCTCAGCTTACTATCTTGAAAAGTCATAACCCCTGACCCCCTTCCCTATCCATGGATGATGCTGTTTTTACACCACATAACTCGAACGCACAATGAAACAAAACAAAAAATTCGGAGAATGAAGCTCTTTGTCAGGTTACAAAGCCAGAAGTTGTCTGTTCCTGTACCCACCTGTGTAAGAAAAACTCCTAATTTTTTTTAATGTCGAATCCTTCTAACAGGCTTGATTGGACCACCATTTTGAGTTATATATTTTGCTGTTACAAGAGCAGCTGGAAGTCTGTGGAACTGTTGTAAAAACAGTAAAGTCTTGCAGCATTCTTGCAACAGCATAAAGGTTATGCAGGCACTGTTGCCCCCCCCCCCAACTTTCCCCTCAACAGCATTGCAGCAACAACAACTAGGCCCCCAGCAGTGCAGCACCCAAGGTACTGCTGTGATAAAATTTGAAGCCCCCCTTATAGCAACGTTACAACAGCAGTGGTGATCATGCAGCACCAAACTTTCTCCTGCCTTACCACTTTCTTCACACACACACACCACTTGGCACTTGCCCATAATCTTGGTATAACCCCCCGTATAAACATAAAATGTGGTGCTTGAAAAAAAAGACTACAAAACACCCTCACACACACACACACATTCCGACTCACTCACCCAGCAAAAACTGGTAAGAAAACGAATCTTACCTGATCTTGACCCTTGAAGTAGATTGTCTCATAGGTGGATGCCTCTTGGTCGGCATCTGGGGTAGGGGAGGGCGGGCACATGGAGCGGCGAGGCGGCTTGGGTGGCGGTAGTGGCTGGTGGGGCCAGCACAGCCAGTCCAAAGCCCAGTCAGGTCAGTGGGCAGGTCAGACGGCAGCAGTTGTCGGGGTAGGCCAGCCAATCCCAGTGTTCCAGGTGAGCAGACAAGGTGTGTGTGTGTGTGTGTGTGTGTGTGTGTGTGTGTGTGTGTGTGTGTGTGTGTGTGTGTGTGTGTGTGCACGCGTGTGTGTGTGTGTGCACGCGTGTGTGTGCACGCATGAGAGAGAGAGAGCAGTGATGATCACCATGGACGACGCAGGCATTGCAAGAGAGAAAGACAGGAGAAAACAATCATTAATAAACAAAAAATAAAACGCAAAAACTATTAATAAAACACAAGCGCCCAAAACAAACACCCCCTCCCCCCCCAAATAATTAAATATAAAACCCCCACTGTGCCTTATCCAAACACACACACACACAGCAATGTTTTAACGAGGCAAATAATACACAACAAATGCTGCTTTGCAACCCACAAGACGGACAACAGCATTAACAATATGCTAGAAGCCAATGTAAAGAAAAAAAAACAGAAGTGCAGGTGTGCACAAAATGCCATACAACTTGGCTTCCATCTCTTATGACATGCTCAGGTTTACTGTGCGAAACGACCCATGATTGGCATGGTTCCAGAGAGAAGCCATTTGTGTATGCACACACATATGCATGAATGTATGTTTAGGTGTATGTATATTTTTTTCAGGTACCAGCATATATCTCAAAACTAAACACCATCGTCACCATCAGCATTTTTATAAATGTGTTTTATATAAATATAAAAAAAAAATAAAAAAATTATATTTTCAGGTTTTAGCTCCATTTAAACCACCCAAGAGAAATATGCAGCCAATACCGATTTGTCTCGGACAAACCCAGCAAACACACAACCACAGTGTGTTTGTAAACACAAACATTATGTTTACCAAAGACAGTGTTTGTTGTATGTTGTTATGACGTTATGAACGCTGTAGGAACGTTGAAAAAAAGGTGCAGGAATGTTAACAAGAAAGTTGTGGGAACGTTAAACAAACATTTTGGTTGTGTTGTCTTTGTGGAGCATTGGGGGATTTACATACAGTAGCTGATATATATAGCTATTTATATCAATCATAATTTGGAATACAAGTGTAGTACATACAGTACTTCAAAAGTTGCAAGAAAATGATTTAGAAACTAATAAGACCTGACTCTCAGTAAAAGCCAGAACTTTATTAGTACCAAAACTGCTGCATTAATATTAAACTGGACCTATTCACATTAAACCCGGACCTATTAATATTAAACCAGCCCTATTAATATTAAACCAGCCCTATTAATATTAAACCAGCCCTATTAATATTAAACCAGACCTATTAATATTAAATCAAACCTATTAATTCAACGTTTGGACATCTGCCAATGATCCCTAACAGAATTAAACTGTGTTACTCAAAATGTGTATGCATGAACTTCATGTATATATATTCTTTTTACATATTATCAATGTACGTATATATATTATTCGAAGAGCAATGTACATATTATTTGAGGAGCAAGAAGTGGTTCACAGGACTACAAGGAGCCAGCACCACTAACCTGGCTACCTAAAAATGCCCTCAACCCGGAGGCCTAGACAGAGACAGGTAACCCTCGAAATCACAGGAGATAGGCACTGAGGATCCTGTACATTTACCGAAGAAGAGAGAGAATACAGGACTCCACACTGGTGAGGAGCCCTGTGTCGAGCCCTAGTGAGTGACATGCATGCCAAAAGATTGCATCTCACTCATGCACGACCTCATAATTGTGTGAAATAAACTCATAATACTCATGATCCCAATGCACAACTAATTGTGTAAATGAGGTTCGCTGCAATTCATAAATGTCAGGACCTACACACCTGAAACACTTCAGTGCTACACACACCTGGGACACCACTAGTGTATAGCGCTACAAACCTGATACACTACTGTATAATGCTACACACTTGATACATCACTACACACTTCAGGCCTACACTCCACTATATACAACACTACACACCTGCAAATACCAATGCATACATTACACCACTGCGAACGCACTGTGTACACCACTACACATCTGAGGTACAACTACTATGTACAAAACTACACACCTGAAACACCGCTATGCACAAAACTACACACCTGAGCATCAATAATGCAATACGGGACACCATGTTGTAGGCGCAATGTACCTACACCAAGTGTAGGCACAGGGAGCATGAGTGTAAACACAGGGAGCATGAGTGTAGGCACAGGGAGCATGAGTGTAAACACAGGGAGCATGAGTGTAGGTACAGGGAGCATGAGTGTAGGCACAGGGAGCATGAGTGTAGGCACAGGGAGCATGAGTGTAAACACAGGGAGCATGAGTGTAGGCACAGGGAGCATGAGTGTAAACACAGGGAGCATGAGTGTAGGCACAGGGAGCATGAGTGTAAACACAGGGAGCATGAGTGTAGGCACAGGGAGCATGAGTGTAAACACAGGGAGCACAAGTGTAGACACAGGGAGCATGAGTGTAGGCACAGGGAGCATGAGTGTAAACACAGGGAGCATGAGTGTAAACACAGGGAGCACAAGTGTAAACAATTGGAAAACAATAACTCCAACAAAAGGAAACAGAACACACAGCCCAGCTGGACACTCCAAGCTGTATGAGACCTGGGACATACACAGTGGCTGAGGACATATCTAGCTTCAAAAGACTTAAAGACACAGCAAGCTTCACAGGACCCCAAAACACAGCAAGCTTCACAGGACCCCAGAACACAGCAAGCTTCACAGGACCCCAGAACACAGCAAGCTTCACAGGACCCCAGAACACAGCAAGCTTCACAGGACCCCAGAACACAGCAAGCTTCACAGGACCCCAGAACACAGCAAGCTTCACAGGACCCCAGAACACAGCAAGCTTCACAGGACCCCAGAACACAGCAAGCTTCACAGGACCCCAGAACACAGCAAGCTTCACAGGACCCCAGAACACAGCAAGCTTCACAGGACCCCAGAACACAGCAAGCTTCACAGGGACCCCAAGACGTAAGCTTTACAGGGCCATTAACACACCAATAGGGACAAGGGGATAGGGGAAGTGTAGGCCGAAGTAAAGATGAGGGACAGAACCGTACAGTCGTGGGTACTGATGCCCAAGCCCTAGGAGTGGGTTGAGAGTCTACCAGCCCGTAGATGGTGACTTCCTAGGAGGAATATGGCGTCTACCAGCCAGTAGATGGTGACTTCCTAGGGGGGGAATATGGCTTCTACCAGCCAGTAGATGGTGACTTCCTAGGGGGGGAGGAATATGGCGTCTACCAGCACGTAGATGATGACTTCCTAGGAGGAATATGGCGTCTACCAGCCAGTAGATGATGACTTCCTAGGGGGGGAGGAATATGGCGTCTACCAGCCAGTAGATGGTGACTTCCTAGGAAGAATATGGCTTCTACCAGCCAGCAGATGATGGCTGTTTTGGGAGCAAATATCAGTAATAAGCAGGTGCGGGTGTTATCTTAAAGGGGGGGGGGCTAATGATCTCAACTATACAGTGGCTAGTAGAATAATATGGGAATTAAATTTCTACATAATAGTGGTGGTCAATATTGGGGGGGGGGGAAGCAGATAGTAGGGGTCTATACCAGACAACAGGAGAGGCCTCCCTTTTTTCTGTGATGGTGAGGGGGGGGGAAGGTAAGATTCTCAACCAAATAGCAGGGGGAATGTCCTGCTATTGGACAGGATTGGGAGGAGGGGGGGGGGACGTGTACTAAATAATAGTGGGTGCTCTTATTGGGGGTGAGAGGAGTGAGGGTCTAAACATTAGTGGGTGCTCTCCACGTCTCTACAAGAGCCACATTTACCCATATTGAAGTGCTTAACTAAGAGGGTAAGCAATGAGCACACTCTTTAAAGATGAACCAGCTTGACGTAATGATATTAAAGGGCCATGTATAGTGTGGAGAGTGTCACTGGCAGGTTCCACACTATGGTAACGACTGCACACTGTGGTGGTACACAGCTGGGGTAGCGGAGGGGGTATGCGCAGCTGGGGAGGGTAGTAGAGGGAGTGCGCAGCTGGGGAAGATAGTAGAGGCAGTACGCAGCTGGGGAGGGCAGCGGTGGTGGCAACCAACCTATGTACTAATCCAAACACAGAAACAACCTAACCACAACATGAATTGTCGGTGGGAACACGGAGGTGGTTGTACAAGGTTGTGGGTGCCGCTATGCGCGTGCTGGGGTGCCGCAGTGGGAGTGACAACTGCTGGGGTCGGTGGTGGTGGCATAACATCATGCACTGCTACTCACTTCCACTACCTTACTGCTGGAGGAGTCAGAGCCAGCAGGGGCAGCCGTGCGCCTGGCCACGGTGGCACTGCTGGAGGAGGTGCTGCCGGGGCTGGTGGCGGCTGCAGAGGGCTGTTGAGGTAGGAGTTCGTCAGAAGAGGGCCGCAGGTGCCTCGAGTCCCGCGATGTCCTCAAGGATGTCGAAGAACTGCGACAGGAGCGTGGCGGAGGAGGGACCTCGTACACGCCGTCGTCATCCCCACATCTGTAATTACCACAGCACTTGTTACTGCACCTGTCCCACCACTCCCTCTCTCCCATACAACACCTGTGGTCCACTCTCCTCCCCCCCCCACACAACACCTGTGGTCCACTCTCCTCCCCCCACACAACACCTGTGGTCCACTCTCCCCCCCCCACACAACACCTGTGGTCCACTCTCCTCCCCCACACAACACCTGTGATCCACTCTCCACAAGTCTACCCCAAACTAGATCCCCCCCAAACCCCCCCTCCCACCAGGTAACCCAGGAAGTGTCACAAAGTTACCACAAGTTGCTCCAAAGTTAGCCAAGACTGGAGGAAGGAGGGGGAGGGGGCCAAGTTTCCAAGGGGAAGCGATAAAGAGACTATCCACTTTTACTGCTGATGACTTCCCAGAGCTGATGTAACCTCGTACGGAAAGGTCACACACACAGTCATTCCCTGCTGCAGCGCCTCCAACGCGGTCATTTACCCGAGGGCTACCCTCCCTCTCTCTCTCTCTAGTGGCCTCGACGGGGACAGCAGGCCGGCGGCTTGTTAAAGGTCTTCCCATGTGTGCATGTTGCTTCTGTTCTCATATCTATCAGACCACGTCTTTCTGCTCTTAAACCCATTCAAGAAATCTACCTTTATGAACATATCCTCATGGGTACCTGATCAACCAGGCTGTGATTCATACGTCAGGTTTCGAGCAGCCGCGTCCAACAGCCTGGTTGATCAGTCCGGCAACCAGGAGGCCTGGTCGACGACCGGACCGCGGGGACGCTAAGCCCCGGAAGCACCTCAAGGTATGGGAGGATACAAAGTAGAGCTGCCCTTCGCATGCACCAATGTAGGCCCTTTGCAATTTATGTAATTATTTGGTTATGTGCACAGTGGTCTACGTCCTCGACTCAATCGAGGATAGCAGGTCAGAACTCCGGGAGGGACAGAAATGGTTGGACACACACTCCTTTTCACCTCATATGTCTGTTCACCTAGCAGCAAATAGGTATTCGCGAGTTAGGCAACTGTTGTGGGAAGCATCCCGGGGATAATGTCCGTAGTTCGACCTAGGGAGGGCGAGAGGGAACGTCGATGTGTCGGGATACAAAATCCTCACTCCGACAGCGGGAATGATCAGTGAAATAGATCTTTAGCTCAGGCACCCCGAGGTGTTAAAGAAAACCGGTGTAGTATTAGGGATAACCATTCTAACAGTTATAGGCGACCCAAACCCCATCGATGACAGTGTAATGTGAGAATACACGCCTGGCTAACAAGCCAGGCCTGGTACTGTCGTTAGTGCCACAGCAAATGAAGACATAGGCTTGTTGCTGTATTACATTCAGCTACTCAGAACAAAAGTTCCAAGTAGCACGGACTATGGTGAGCCCATAGTGGACTTACCTTTCACAGGAGCGGGGCTGTATGAAGGCACAGGGCATATATATATATGTATATATACACATTTGACATACATCTTTTACCCCTATCTTGAGGTTATCTTGAGATGATTTCGGGGCTTTTTAGTATCCCCGCGGCCCGGTCCTCGACCAGGCCTCCACCCCCAGGAAGCAGCCCGTGACAGCTGACTAACACCCAGGTACCTATTTTACTGCTAGGTAACAGGGGCATGGGGTGAAAGAAACTCTGCCCATTGTTTTTCGCCGGCGCCTGGGATCGAACCCAGGATCACAAGTCCAGCGTGCTGTCCGCTCGGCCGACCGGCTCCCTACAAATACATTACATTCTTCTCTACATGATCCATGACCTTTCCCCACTCTTAAAGTTCATGTATTGCGCCTCAGTGTTTGCACTGGTATTCCCAGCGCCAGCCGTTCTCTCGCTCAATTCCGCTAGCTTACGGAATCGACCACTCCGTTAATAATGCGACGTATTTGTAAGACATTCAATCAATGAAATATTGACGTTTTCTATGCACTGCTTCGATAGGTTACAGGTAGATTGTTTACGTTCGTACGTGACTAATTAGACCAACAGTTGAGTTTTTTACGGAGTGGGAGGGGGGAAGAACCGCCGGTATTAATACAAGTGATCAGAACATGTTAATATTATATATATATATATATATATATATATATATATATATATATATATATATATATATATATATATATATATATATATATATATATATATATACACACACACAAGTTATATCTTTTGTTCACGACTACTGCAGTTGTGCGCCTGGTGCTAACAACTGTTTTATGCACATGTGCAGGTGTGGGGATGGCACTGGTGGGCAGGTGTGTGTGTGGCACTGGTGGGCAGGTGTGGCACTGGTAGGCAGGTGTGGCACTGGTGGAGGAAGATACTCACTCTGAGGTCTGACTGCGGTAGGAGAGAGAGCCACGGTCACTGCCCCCCACCGTCTTGGGCGGCGGCGGCACGTCGTAGATGGACCAGTCCGACGTCGCCTCCGACACCCGGCTCGCCACCGACGTCCGCCCGTCACGGTCCGATATCCGGCTCTCCCGGTCGGACGTCCGGCTCTCCCGGTCCGAGGTCCGGCTCTCCCTATCAGAGGTCCGGCTCTCTCTATCAGAGGCCCGGCTGCTGGCTCTGTGTTCCGGCATTCTGCACCCGCTTTCTCCATCTACAGGATAAGGAGGACATTCATCACACACAATGGTACCACAATGCCACAGTAACGGTACCACAAAGCTACAGCAACGGTACCACAGCGCTACAGCAGCGGTACCACAGCGCCACAGCAACGGTACCACAGCGCTACAGCAACGGTACCCCTGCATATCGCAACGTTGCGACGGAAAGCAAAAAAAAAAAAAAAAAAGGGTTTCGGATAACGGTGAGTTTATTTGGCCGTCACTTGTAGGAAAGCATGATCCCAGCCACCGTCTAGAGACGCTCTAGACTAAGAGGCGCTCTAGACTCTAAGAGGCTCTAGACTCTAAGAGGGGAGCTAGGGTGTATCCACCATATACACGCTGGCTACAAGCGACTACAGCAGCAGCAACAGCATTCAACACAAGACACTACTCAACAAACTCATCCACTACTCAGCTAACTCATCCACTACACCAATAATAATAATCAGATGCTAAATCAAAACACAAAAGCATTAATTTTTACTCACAACAGCATTCAAAAAATAATATTTTCACAATGCTTCCAAACTAAATAATAATTAGCATAATGACACAATTGCATTATATATATATATATATATATATATATATATATATATATATATATATATATATATATATATATATATATATATATATATATATGTCGTACCTAGTAGCCAGAACGCACTTCTCAGCCTACTATGCAAGGCCCGATTTGCCTAATAAGCCAAGTTTTCATGAATTAATTGTTTTTCGACTACCTAACCTACCTAACCTAACCTAACCTAACTTTTTCGGCTACCTAACCTAAAAAGATAGGTTAGGTTAGGTAGGGTTGGTTAGGTTCGGTCATATATCCACGTTAATTTTAACCCCAATAAAAAAAAATTGACCTCATACATAATGAAATGAGTAGCTATATCATTTCATAAGAAAAAAATTATAGTAAATATATTAATTCAGGAAAACTTGGCTTATTAGGCAAATCGGGCCTTGAATAGTAGGCTGAGAAGTGCGTTCTGGCTACTAGGTACGACATATATATATATATATATATATATATATATATATATATATATATATATATATACATATATATATATATATATATATATATATATATATATATATACACACACACATACAAGCAAACAACTTGACTATCACACTGCAGATAATATCATCTGATAATTGTACACTCACAAGTCGAGCCTGGCCTCAGGCCGGGCTCGGGGAAGTAGACGAACTCTCGAAAACCTCTCCAGGTATGTTCCAGGTAAAACAACGCATCTGGTATACAATGACAGGAGGATGAGGAGTCGCTGCACAGGAGCTTGGCTTCTTTTGTTTTTTCACCATTCCCCCTACAACACCCACGTGTGTGTGTGTGTGTGTGTGTGTGTGTGTGTGTGTGTGTGTGTGTGTGTGTGTGTGTGTGTGTGTGTGTGTGTGTGTGTGTGTACACTCCCCTGGGGACAATTGAGTGTGTACACCCCAAGCTACACCCCAAGAGGATTTCTGTGTCTGATCTACACCACCAGGAACACCCGTGACTACACCCCCAGGGGGTACAACTGACTCTCTACACCACCAGGAACACCTGTGACTACACCCCCAGGGGGGACAACTGTCTCTACACCCCCAGGAACACCTGTGACTACACCCCCAGGGGTACAACTGACTCTCTACACCACCAGGAACACCTGTGACTACACCCCCAGGGGGGACAACTGTCTCTACACCCCCAGGAACACCTGTGACTACACCCCCAGGGGGTACAACTGTCTCTCTACACCACCAGGAACACCTGTGACTACACCCCCAGGGGTACAACTGTCTCTCTACACCACCAGGAACACCTGTGACTACACCCCCAGGGGGGACAACTGTCTCTCTACACCACCAGGAACACCTGTGACTACACCCCCAGGGGGACAACTGACTCTCTACACCACCAGGAACACCTGTGACTACACCCCCAGGGGTACAACTGTCTCTACACCACCAGGAACACCTGTGACTACACCCCCAGGGGGACAACTGTCTCTACACCACCAGGAACACCTATGACTACACCCCCAGGGGGACAACTGTCTCTACACCACCAGGAACACCTGTGACTACACCCCCAGGGGGGACAACTGTCTCTACACCACCAGGAACACCTGTGACTACACCCCCAGGGGGGACAACTGTCTCTCTACACCACCAGGAACACCTGTGACTACACCCCAGGGGGTACAACTGTCTACACCACCAGGAACACCTGTGACTACACCCCCAGGGGTACAACTGTCTCTCTACACCACCAGGAACACCTGTGACTACACCCCCAGGGGGGACAACTGTCTCTCTACACCACCAGGAACACCTGTGACTACACCCCCAGGGGTACAACTGTCTCTCTACACCACCAGGAACACCTGTGACTACACCTCCAGGGGGGACAACTGTCTCTACACCACCAGGAACACCTGTGACTACACCCCCAGGGGGTACAACTGTCTCTCTACACCACCAGGAACACCTGTGACTACACCCCCAGGGGGTACAACTGTCTCTCTACACCACCAGGAACACCTGTGACTACACCCCCAGGGGTACAACTATGTCTCTACACCAGCAGGAACACCTGTGACTACACCCCCAGGGGGGACAACTATCTCTACACCACCAGGAACACCTGTGACTACACCCCCAGGGGTACAACTGTCTCTCTACACCACCAGGAACACCTGTGACTACACCCCCAGGGGGGACAACTATCTCTACACCACCAGGAACACCTGTGACTACACCCCCAGGGGTACAACTGTCTCTCTACACCACCAGGAACACCTGTGACTACACCCCCAGGGGTACAACTGTCTCTACACCACCAAGAACACCTGTGTGTATAAACCTGATAACCTGCTATATTTACAGTGTTGGAGAGGCTCTTGATGGTTCATGACGTCTGAGGGGGGGTACACTGTATCTCTACACGTGGGCCATTGGCCAAGTGTTTACCCACTACCTCAGCTGATTTTGTTTACCCACTACATCAGCTGATTTTGTTTACCCACTAAATCAGCTGATTTTGTTTACCCACTACATCAGCTGATTTTGTTTACCCACTACATCAGCTGATTTTGTTTACCTACTACATCAGCTGATTTTGTTTACAACCTGGACGATACCCACCCGAATTTAACCCACTGACGCGTGGGAAGGTGTATAAAGAGAGAGGGTCGAGCACTGAACATTCCACTCCTCCCCATAGTTCCTGGTTCAAGTCTAGCTATATTCCCATTTTGAAATTAAAAATTATATATACTATTAACATGTTTAATCTGAAGGCGTAGCCGGAGAGGAAGGCTTCCTAAGACTAGCGAACTCTGCCGCCACGTGCAGCCCCTACGACACGTATCGGACACGTTATATACAAGAATGATACGTGTACGGCTCGTGTCCCAACAAAGATGGCGGGTGATGGTGTTTTGGGCGGGAAAAACGTGCCGTGAAGCGTGGGGGTGTGTGTGGGGGGTGACCTTACCTGTGTGTTGCTCTGGGTGAAGGATGATTGGGATGAGGACATTCTCGTAAGGCGAGCCCAGTTCCGAGGGCGTGGGAATGGGCGGCAGGGAAGGCGGGGACGGCCAAGAGGGCGGCGGCCACACGGGCGGCGGCCAAGACGGCGGCTCCCCGGCATCGTCCTCGTCGTCGTCGTCGTCCAGGCTGATCAGTTGGCCGTGGCCTACACCAGCGACCACACCGTTGGGTGTGGTGGAGTGGTGTGTGGGTGGGTACGGTGTGTGGGTAGGGTGTGTAGGGTATGTGTGTGGTGTGTGGGTAGGGTGTGGATGGTGGTTGTGGGGGAAGAGGTGTGTTGGATAAATTTACCAGTTAATAGATGATGGGGGTTGAGATATTGGGGGGAGAGGGGGAGAGGGATGGGGGGAGGGAAAGAGAGAGAGAGAGAGAGAGAGAGAGAGAGAGAGAGAGAGAGAGAGAGAGAGAGAGAGAGAGAGAGAGAGAGAGAGAGAGAGAGAGAGAGAGAGAGAGAGAGAGACGAGAGAGAGAGAGAGAGAGAGAGAGAGAGAGAGAGAGAGAGAGAGAGAGAGAGAGAGAGAGAGACAGGAGCCAGACAAGATATATAGCAACAATAGTCAGATATAAATTAGTTGTAAGGGGGGGAAAGACATCATTACACAAGGGAGGGAGGGAGGAGGGGGTGTGGAGCAGCAGGAGTCGGAGGCAGCAGTGACCAACATACAGTGCCACACGCTTTACCAGTGCCAACACCATGAGGGGTACAGTGACACCATTATGGTGCCAGCACATACACATTTCCCACCATGGGGGGGGGGAGGGGGCGATGGGGGGGGGGTGTATAGTTTTCAGGGAGAGGGGGGAGGGAGTGCCAGGGGAGGGGATCAAGTTTAGTGGGCCACACGGCACAGTTTTGTAACGCATGGCACCATTCAGTTTAGATACATGTGTGTGTAGAGGCCAAGGAGAAAGAGGTGGTGGGTGGACAGGAGGAAAAGGAGAATGAAAGCCAACATAAATATTAAATCATCACTTACAAAAATTACTCAACATGCTTGCAACCAACAACAACAAAAATAATACAACAAAATAATCAAGCACCGTGTCAATACAGCTAAATCATAATTCAACTGAGATCAATGATAATAATACAAGCATGAGGCATTCCGCAGCAGCTCTATATTATTACTGTATACAAGAGGGCCGAGCCAGGAGGGAGGGGGGGGGGAGGAGTACAGTACTACATGAGTACAGTATTGGTGAGTACAGTACTACATGAGTACAGTACTACATGAGTACAGTATTGGTGAGTACAGTACTACATGAGTACAGTACTACATGAGTACAGTACTACATGAGTACAGTATTGGTGAGTACAGTACTACATGAGTACAGTACTAGATGAGTACAGTACTACATGAGTACAGTATTAGATGAGTACAGTACTACATGAGTACAGTATTGGTGAGGACCCACGAGGCACCTACCATGGACATCACCTGTTCATCATACCTCTCTACCACTACAGGTTTACCTGTACCCGGTTAACTACAGTCAGAGGTTTACCTGTACCCCGGTTAACTACAGTCAGAGGTTTACCTGTACCCCGGTTAACTACAGTCAGAGGTTTACCTGTACCCCGGTTAACTACAGTCAGAGGTTTACCTGTACCCCGGTTAACTACAGTCAGAGGTTTACCTGTACCCCGGTTAACTACAGCTACAGGTTTACCTGTACCCCGGTTAACTACAGTCAGAGGTTTACCTGTACCCCGGTTAACTACAGCTACAGGTTTACCTGTACCCCGGTTAACTACAGTTACAGGTTTACCTGTACCCCGGTTAACTACAGTTACAGGTTTACCTGTACCCTGGTAAACTACAGCTACAGGTTTACACACAACTTACCCGATCTCCACCTGCGCCAACCCCCAACCCCTCTTCTATTATCATAGTATCTCTTTAATGACCCCTTCCCTACCTACCTACAGGTTTACCTGTATCCCGGTTAACTACACCTACAGGTTTACCTGTACCCTGGTTAACTACAGCTACAGGTTTACACACAACTTACCCGATCTACACCTGCGCCAACCCCCAACCCCTCTTCTATTATCATAGTATCATCTCTTTAATGACCCCTTCCCTACCTACCTACAGGTTTACCTGTACCCCGGTTAACTACAGCTAGAGGTCGGGTAGGCCTGGTCGAGGACCGGGCCGCGGGGACGCTAAGCCCCGAAATCATCTCAAGATAACCCCTCTATACTCCTGAGGCTGCTATTGTTTGCCCTCTGCCTAGAAGAGCCAGGAGGCGCCCCTGTGCCCTGAGGGGGGGCCCTGAGGGGGAGCCCTGAGGGGGGCCCTGAGGGGGGCCCTGAGGGCGGCCCTGAGGGTGCCCTGAGGGGGCCCTGAAGGTGCCCTGAAGGTGCCCTGAGGGGGGACCCTGAGGGCGACAAGAGGGTGCCCTGAGGGTGCCCTGAGGGGGGCCCTGAGGGCGACAAGAGGGTGCCCTGAGGGTGCCCTGAGGGGGGCCCTGAGGGCGACAAGAGGGTGCCCTGAGGGTGCCCTGAGGGGGGACCCTGAGGGCGACAAGAGGGTGCCCTGAGGGGGCCCTGAGGGGGCCCTGAGGGGGTGCCCTGAGGGGGCCCTGAGGGGGTGCCCTGAGGGGGCCCTGAGGGGGTGCCCTGAAGGTACCCTGAGGGGGGCCCTGAGGGCGACAAGAGAGAGAGAGATGTGAGCGTACACTTGATAAGGGTGGTGATCTCCTGGGTGATGGGCGTGTTGATGAGAGAGATGGTGTCGAGGACGGTGTGGCCGCAGTCATCCCGCACCTCGGGGTCCGCGCCCGCCTCCAGCAGCACCCGCACCACCTCCACCTGTCTCACACACCATAGACGGCAGGTGCGTGGGTGGTGGGAAGGGTGAGAAGGGAGGTGGAGAGAGGGAAAGAGAGGGAAGGGAGGTGGAGAGAGGGAAAGAGAGGGAAGGGAGGTGGAGAGAGGGAAAGAGAGGGAAGGGAGGTGGAGAGAGGGAAGGGAGGTGGAGAGAGGGAAGGAAGGGAGGGAGGGTAAGGCAGAAATTGGGTCATGAGAGGATTAGGAAAGGGTAGAAAGAGGAAAGGAGGAGGATGAGAGGGGAAGGAAAGGAGGATGAGAGGGGGAAGGAAAGGAGGATGAGAGGGGGAACGAAAGGAGGATGAGAGAGGAAGGGAAGGAGGATGAAAGAGTAAAGGAAGGGGGGGGGGGGAGAAAAGAAATAAAAAAAAATTGTTAGTAAAACACTCATCATTTCACCAATTATCAACACCACCACCAATTTCACACTATTGACAACCCAACTACCATATTCCCGCACACACTCTCCCCCCCCCCAGCAGACATTCTGGAAAACCCTCCCAGCTGTGACGCGACAAAGAACGATACTAAACAAACGAACACCCACTTTCAAAAACCCTCAGGATTGCACATATATAAATATGCTGGATACAGGCCCATGGAACGTTATATTTGGATTCAGGTTCGCGGAATGCTCGAAATTTTGGATTACAGATTCACGAGACACTGTACTATTGGGATACAGCGTAAAGTGACATTGGCGCAAAAGATGGCCTCGACAACTGCCGCTCCCCATTGGGAGTTATATCAAATATACCACATCAACCCTTTTTTTTTTTTTGAGATATATACAAGAGTTGTTACATTCTTGTACAGCCACTAGTACGCGTAGCGTTTCGGGCAAGTCCCTGGAATACGATCCCCTGCCGCGAAGAATCGTTTTTTCATCCAAGTACACATTTTACTGTTGCGTTAAACAGAGGCTACAGCTAAGGAATTGCGCCCAGTAAATCCTCCCCGGCCAGGATACGAACCCATGACATAGCGCTCGCGGAACGCCAGGCGAGTGTCTTACCACTACACCACGGAGACTGTAGCTCAAGCAGTATAGTCGTAGCATTATAAAAACAGTCCTCAAAGAATACCTGATCAACCAGGCTGTGACTCATACTTCAGGGTGCGAGCAGCCGCGTCCAACAGCCTGGTTGATCAGTCCGGCAACCAGGAGGCCTGGTCGACGACCGGGCCGCGGGGACGTTAAGCCCCGGAAGCACCTCAAGGTAACCTCAAGGTAACCTCAAGGTAAGGTAACCTCATATAGCGAGGTTTACCATCAGAGTCCACGCGACTAAAGCGGCGCGGAACGCTGATGTGACTTTTGAGTCTCTGGCAAATATGTTGACCAGACCACACACTAGAAGGTGAAGGGACGACGACGTTTCGGTCCGTCCTGGACCATTCTCACAATCGACTTGAGAATGGCCCAGGACGGACCGAAACGTCGTCGTCCCTTCACCTTCTAGTGTGTGGTCTAGTCAACATACTTCAGCCACGTTATTGTGACTCATCGCCTGTCTCTGGCAAATATTTCAATTTTGGAGAAATTTATCGCCCTGAAGAAGTGAAATACTTGAAATCGTGTTCCGTGAGCAGATATATCCGTCCGTACAACAGGAGTAGACAGAGCAGAGTAGATGCGCAGAAGTAGATGAGTGAGAGAGAGAAGATTAAGCCACCCAAAAGATGGCTTGGGCATGAATAGCCCATAAGTGGTGGCCCTTTTGAGCCATTTCCAGTATCAACAGATGATACTGGAGATCTGTGGAGGTGCGACTGCACCCTGCGTGACGGGAGATGTCTCCCGTGTGTGTAGACGAGTATACCTTCGTGTGTGAAAGTGAGCTTGAATAACAGGAAATAAGAGAGATGGTGAGTGAGAAAAACAGCCGTAGATAAAAGTGACAAGAAATATCACCCCATTCTCCTGTTTAGATAGCAGTTTCTTTAAACTATGTGCCTCATAGTACAAAGATTGTCGTTCTAAGCAATTAGAAGAACTTTGTACTATTAATTTTATAGAGTCGACAACAAAAATTAAGCAAAAAACAAACTAAAATATTCCTCGGCTCTAGTATAGCACACATATGTACTATACTAGGCCTCAGATAGCGTGTATTAGGCCTAGTAAGATTAGGTTAGTTTAGATTGTCTTGCCAACACGAGTAGAAAATAGTTTTCCGGTTTAACTCAATAGTACCCATTTCTACTTTCTAACGGCGTTGTATGTCGTATATGTACTATGGTGTATATGTATATGTACTACGACATATGTACTATGTCGGTATATGTACAGGGGCCTCGTAGCCTGGTGGATAGCGCGCAGGACTCGTAATTCTGTGGCGCGGGTTCGATTCCCGCACGAGGCAGAAACAAATGGGCAAACTTTCTTTCACCCTGAATGCCCCTTTTACCTAGCAGTAAATAGGTACCTGGGAGTTAGTCAGCTGTCACGGGCTGCTTCCTGGGGGTGGAGGCCTGGTCGAGGACCGGGCCGCGGGGACACTAAAGCCCCGAAATCATCTCAAGATAACCTCAAGATGGTGCTCATCGTTACTATAAGGACTACCAAAACAGGAGGATGAGCTGGAAATGTATAGAAGATATTTACGTAATGAAGGAATCTTTAGCAGAAGAATGAGAGTGAACAGACGAATTGAAGAGAGTTGACGCACTGAAGACAGTAGACGCACAGGGCGACGCAGAGATCGGACGAATGGGTCGACGCAGAGATCGGACGAACGGGTCGACGCAGAGATCGGACGAATGGGTCGACACAGAGGTCGGACGAATGGGTCGACACAGAGATCGGACGAATGGGTCGACACAGAGATCGGACGAATGGGTCGACACAGAGATCGGACGACGCAGAGATCGGACGAATGGGTCGACACAGAGATCGGACGAATGGGTCGACACAGAGATCGGACGAATGGGTCGACACAGAGATCGGACGAATGGGTCGACACAGAGATCGGACGAATGGGTCGACGCACAAAGCGACATACTGGAGGCCTGCGACCCAGAAAGTGACGCACCAAGAGGATAATCAGACGTACATGTCAACCCGACTTACCTGGATTTTACCTGGAGAGGATCTCTGGAGTAGTTCTGCTCCCCGAGCCCGGCCTGAGGCCAGGCTCGACGTGTGATAACTTGGTCCAACAGGCTGTTGCTTGCAGGTGCCCGCAGGCCCACATACCCACCACAGCCTGCTTGGCCCGGAAATACTTGCAAGAACTTACATACTTCTTGAAGAAATCCACCTTTGTCCCGGCAATATTTCTAATGCTTGCTGGTAGTGTGTTGACCAGCTGTGGACCCCTGATGTTCAGACAGTGCTCTCTGGCTGTGCCATGGCATCACTGCGTCACCGGAAGCCTGTGACGCAGACGGCGACGCACCAGAGGGATCGGACGCACAGTTCGACATTGGTAAGAAAAAGCAAAAGGTGAAAATATAGCCCAGAAGATGCATGCTATGAGGACTGAAGGACTGAGTGTGTTGTAGAAGTGACACCATAAGTGAGTGACACCACAAGTGACACCATAAGTGAGTGAGACACCATAAGTGACACCATAAGAGTGAGGGTAAGGTCAGAGTGACGGGAGAGTACCGTACCTTGCCACAGAGTGCAGCCTCGTGCAGGGGCGCTCCCTGGCCCGTCCGGACGTTAACATGGTGACCGTGGGTTAACAGCAGCTTAACCACCTCCCTGCACGCCCACGCCCACCGCATGCGGCCCCCGCCACGTGCACCCACAGGTGGGTGGAGGGGTGGGGGAGGTCATGGCCAGGTGGTGGAGGCACAGCACGGCAAGTGGAGGGGGGAGAAGGAGAGGGAGTGAGTTAGTAGTGTGTGTTAGGGTAGGTGGATGCTTCTACTGCTGTTGCTGCTGCTGCTGCTGCTGCTGCTACTGTTGCTGCTACTGCTGCTGCTGCTGCTGCTGCTGCTGCTGTGTTAGTGTTCACCAACACACCACACTGTACTAGTGTTAATCTGCTATGTAATGCTATATACACACAGACAATGTGAACATCATCTCATTACCATTATATCAACTAAAATGTTTATATTTACACACAAACGCTCTAAACACCTACACGAACATCAATTTTTATTGGTGTTAAGTGCCATTACGAGGGAATTAATTCTATTTTATTCCAGACTGACGGCTGTTAGTGAAGAAACTAGTAAGGAGAGATAGGGGGCGTATAGTACATGGGGGAGGACTGGTCCATAGGTAGGACTGGTCCATGGGGAGGACTGGTCCATGGGGAGGACTGGTCCATGTGGAGGACTGGTCCATGGGGAGGACTGGTCCATGTGGAGGACTGGTCCATGGGGAGGACTGGTCCATGGGGAGGACTGGTCCATGTGGAGGACTGGTCTGACGACATCTACAGGCAGGTGCTGGCCCCTCACCTGTGACCGTTCCTGGAGGCGCGGTGCAAGGGCGTGTGGGGGAAGACGGCCGCAGTAGCCGCAGCCACGGTGTACGGCCGCAGCAGCTCCGGTTGGGCGCGCACCAGCACCTCCACCGTATGAAGACGTCCGTACTGCGCCGCGAGGTCCAGCGCCGTCTCCGCCTGCACATTGGGGATGCTGGGGTCACCGCCGCGTGCCAGCAGCATCTGCGCCGCCTCTGTGTGGCCATACTGCGCGGCGCAGTGCAGGGCGGTCTCTCCGCCCTTGTTCTGAAACACAACAGCAACAATGACCATTCACCCCCACCAAACTGCCTCCATCCAACACATTACACTTGGCCAATAACCCCTCAATATTTACACAACACCGTTTTCTGCCTCTCAGGAGACGTAGCACAGTAGGGGTTACACCCTACTGTGGGTTACACCCTACTGTGGGTTACACCCACCCACCCCCCATACCTGTGGCCGGGTACCATATAGGCATTCACCTCGGGAAGCCTTCTGCGGGTATAGGTGCGCAGGCCTACCCCATCACAACATGGCTGATACGGTATTTCCTACAGGAACCTGTATGTCTTGACAAATTTCACCCCTTAGTTCCAGCCATATTTTGTGTTATATTTGTTGGAAAAGGCTGGAAAATTCGTGAGCCTGTGATGATCGAACAGTGCTGCCAGTGTAAAGCACTGGGAGCACTGTTTGAGCCTGCTACTGTATGAACAGTGAACCTGGCCCTTCGTGTGTACATCCTCCACTGGTGGCACTGGTGGCACTGCAACAGAGGGGATACGAGGGAGGCCTTCCACTTCTCACTGTAGCCTAGGGCCTGTCTCTCATTCCCCTCACTGTAGCCTAGGGCCTGTCTCTCACTCCCCTCACTGTAACCTAGGGCCTATCTCACACCCCTCACTGTAGCCTAGGGCCTGTCTCTCATTCCCCTCACTGTAGCCTAGGGCCTGTCTCTCACTCCCCTCACTGTAGCCTAGGGCCTGTGTCTCATTCCCCTCACTGTAGCCTTGGGCCTGTCTCTCACTCCCCTCACTGTAACCTAGGGCCTGTCTCTCACTCCCCTCACTGTAGCCTAGGGCCTGTCTCTCACTCCCCTCATTGTAGCCTAGGGCCTGTCTCTCACTCCCCTCACTGTAGCCTAGGGCCTGTCTCTCACTCCCCTCATTGTAGCCTAGGGCCTGTCTCTCACTCCCCTCATTGTAGCCTAGGGCCTGTCTCTCACTCCCCTCACTGTAACCTAGGGCCTATCTCACACCCCTCACTGTAGCCTAGGGCCTGTCTCTCACTCCCCTCACTGTAGGGACGGGTAGACGGGTCTTCTTCCCCTCACTGTAGAGACGGGAGGGAAGGGGGTACCATCCTCTCCTTGATGTAAAGAGGTGACAGAGTAAGCCATCTTCCCCTCCCTGTAGAGACAGAGAGGGGGGCGGTTTCACTCCCCCTCACTGTAAAACTACCCCGGGGACTATATATGATAGTTCTTCCACTAATGTATAATTATACACCTGGTGTGCACACCTGTATCTCCAATAGACACCTGTTAAGCCGGCTGATACACTTGTACTATATACTAATCATTCAGGCCCCGTTCTATAGATATGCCATGCCGTAAAGACTTCAATCTCTCTCTACCTAGCCAGGAACGTATAACCCCACGCAACCCACCTAACTTATTGTGCGAGGCATACAAACGGTACTTTTCATACCAAAAACATCACACTACACTGCCAAATACACCTCTTTAAAACAATAACTAAATATTATCAGAGCATTTACCATGTCAATTAATGTTTCTAGAGGCTTGTCTAACACACCCGTCCTCCCACACAGCCCCCCCCCCTCTCCTAAACGGCCCCCCCCTCTCCTAAACGGCCCCCCACCTCCTCTCCTACACGGCCCCCGTCTCCCACACGCCCCCCTCCAGTCCCACGCGGCAAACAATCAAAGACTGTACACTGAAAGTCTTACTGATTGTTGCATATTTCGACATGTGGTTTAATTACTCGAGGGCCATTAAAGGTGAGGCCGCAACACTTACAAGGCGCCTGTGACTCGCTCGCAACACCACCCTCAACACGTTATCTTGAGGTTATCTTGAGATGATTTCGGGGCTTTTAGTGTCCCCGCGGCCCGGTCCACGACCAGGCCTCCACCCCCAGGAAGCAGCCCGTGACAGCTGACTAACACCCAGGTACCTATTTTACTGCTAGGTAACAGGGGCATAGGGTGAAAGAAACTCTGCCCATTGTTTCTCGCCGGCGCCTGGGATCGAACCCAGGACCACAGGATCACAAGTCCAGCGTGCTGTCCGCTCGGCCGACCGGCTCCCAAAACGTCATACACGATACAACATGCACGATACAGCATATTCTCAGGAGACAACATGCACGATACAGCATATTCTCAGGAGACAACATACACGATACAGCATATTCTCAGGAGACAACATGCACGATACAGCATATTCTCAGGAGACAACATGCACGATACAGCATATTCTCAGGAGACAACATGCACGATACAGCATATTCTCAGGAGACAACATGCACGATACAGCATATTCTCAGGAGACAACATGCACGATACAGCATATTCTCAGGAGACAACATGCACGATACAGCATATTCTCAGGAGACAACATGCACGATACAGCATATTCTCAGGAGACAACATGCACGATACAGCATATTCCCAGGAGACAACATGCACGATACAGCATATTCTCAGGAGACAACATGCACGATACAGCATATTCTCAGGAGACAACATGCACGATACAGCATATTCTCAGGAGACAACATGCACGATACAGCATATTCTCAGGAGACAACATGCACGATACAGCATATTCTCAGGAGACAACATACACGATACAACATAATATTCTCACGATACAGTGACCACACCTGGCACATACCCCGACTGATCCTGACGACTAACTAGTCGGGGGTATAATATTCCTTATTGGTCTAATAACGTCCTCCCTAGTAACTACTAAACTAGGTGAAAAGGAAAAAGGTGTTGGTAACGAGGGTAAAAGCTACCCTCGTTACCAACACGGATCTGAACAGCTGTGGCCATGGTTTCAAGTTGCTAACTAGTAAATACACACACGCACACACACACACACACACACACACACACACACACACACACACACACACACACACACACACACACACACACACACACACACACACACAGGCCCCGAGTAAAATATGCATCTTTATCTCTAGGCACAATAAGTTAGCTAACTTATTGTCTAGAAAGTTTCCCCACGCCTCAGTCTTCACCCTAATCTGTGTTTGGCAGCCGAAGAAAACACTGTAGGATTTGTTGAGGAAAATCCTTGTTAGAAACTGTCTTGGCATGAGCATTCACGAAGCCGTTACGCAAGCACTTACGAACCTGTACATCTTTTCTCAATCTTTGGCGGCTTTGTTTACAATTATTAAACAGTTAATGAGCTCCGAAGCACCAGGAGGCTGTTTATAACAATAACAACAGTTGATTGGCAAGTTTTCATGCTTGTAAACTGTTTAATAAATATAACCAAAGGCGTCAAAGATTGAGGAAAGATGTACACGTTCGTAAGTGCTTGCGCAACTGCTTCGTGAATCTGGCCCCAGACCTCCACCTGAGAATAACTGACATTATTATTATTATTAATTAATATTATTAATTATTATTATTATTATTATAAACAGGAAGACGGCCAAAGTCTCTTACGAACAAACACACAAAAGCCAAAAAAAAAAAATGATAAGATGAGAGCAGAACAAAAAAATGATAAGATGAGAGCAGAACAAACAAATGATAAGATGAGAGCAGAACAAACAAATGATAAGATGAGAGCAGAACAAACAAATGATAAGATGAGAGCAGAACAAATGATAAGATGAGAGCAGAACAAATGATAAGATGAGAGCAGAACAAATGATAAGATGAGAGCAGAACAAATGATAAGATGAGAGCAGAACAAATGATAAGATGAGAGCAGAACAAATGATAAGATGAGAGCAGAACAAATGATAAGATGAGAGCAGAACAAATGATAAGATGAGAGCAGAACAAATGATAAGATGAGAGCAGAACAAATGATAAGATGAGAGCAGAACAAATGATAAGATGAGAGCAGAACAAATGATAAGATGAGAGCAGAACAAATGATAAGATGAGAGCAGAACAAATGATAAGATGAGAGCAGAACAAATGATAAGATGAGAGCAGAACAAATGATAAGATGAGAGCAGAACAAATGATAAGATGAGAGCAGAACAAATGATAAGATGAGAGCAGAACAAATGATAAGATGAGAGCAGAACAAATGATAAGATGAGAGCAGAACAAATGATAAGATGAGAGCAGAACAAATGATAAGATGAGAGCAGAACAAATGATAAGATGAGAGCAGAACAAATGATAAGATGAGAGCAGAACAAATGATAAGATGAGAGCAGAACAAATGACAAGATGAGAGCAGAACAAATGACAAGATGAGAGCAGAACAAATGATAAGATGAGAGCAGAACAAATGATAAGATGAGAGCAGAACAAATGATAAGATGAGAACAGAACAAATGATAAGATGAGAGCAGAACAAATGATAAGATGAGAGCAGAACAAATGATAAGATGAGAGCAGAACAAATGATAAGATGAGAGCAGAACAAATGATAAGATGAGAGCAGAACAAATGATAAGATGAGAGCAGAACAAATGATAAGATGAGAGCAGAACAAATGATAAGATGAGAGCAGAACAAATGATAAGATGAGAGCAGAACAAATGATAAGATGAGAGCAGAACAAATGATAAGATGAGAGCAGAACAAACAAATGATAAGATGAGAGCAGAACAAACAAATGATAAGATGAGAGCAGAACAAACAAATGATAAGATGAGAGCAGAACAAACAAATCGGCAAAACTTTACACTTTCCCTTCAAAATTCTCCCTAAAATACTCTCTTGATCTAAACGCGTCTGTCGGTTGGTCTTCAGCTCCCGGGCCCCCATCTTTTAAAGTTGCCATGCAGTCACCTGATGTCATAGCTCGTTTCACATATTTCATCTCGTAGCTAGAAAGGGAGCCGGTCGGCCGAGCGGGCAGCACGCTGGACTAGTGATCTTATGGTCCTGGGTTCGATCCCAGGCGCCGGCGAGAAACAATGGGCAGAGTTTCTTTCACCCTATGCCCCTGTTACCTAGCAGTAAAATAGGTACCTGGGTGTTAGTCAGCTGTCACGGGCTGCTTCCTG